ACCGGTTTCAGTTGTAATATCACCCTTCATTCTCCGTTTCATTCTTCAATTAATCTGTTTTGCAATTTGTAACCCCCTCAAATATTGTTAACCTACATGTTTCTTGTTTCCCTCATCCAGGCGACACATTCAGTCTATTGTAACGTTCTGGGTTTAACAGCTCTAACTATATTAGGGGAAGGGTGAAAATCGCGTCAGTTTCCTCCATTCCCTAATTACGGATCTCCCATCGTGCCCTTGGCAAATGCTTGTACAGTAATGAAACGTTAAGACCTACGTGTTCAGTCAAAGGCGAAATTTCGCAGCCATCGAAAACAAATAACTTATGCATCAAAAGTTAAACGAAACTGCGTTAGCATTGTAGCCACGGCAAACATTTATCGTGCTCTGGAGAGGAAACATACAGCAAATAAGTGATGTTTGTGGAACAGGTGGTAAAGTGGCACAAAGCATTGACAAGCCGAATGCAGCGGGAGAGGGGTCAAACTGGATCGATACTTTGGAAAACAAAAGGGGAGAGGATCCCTAAGAATTCTGCTCTAGGTCAAATTTATAACCACCCTCATGGCGTCGCTCGACTGACGAGTGCGAAGTTGCACATTTTCTTTCTTCCTTCCCTCTTTCTGCCATATCGGTACTCCAGTCGGTTATTGTTGTAGGCCCGTTCGAACCGCGGAGCGCCTCTTAAGAACGCTGCTCCCATTCGTCCGTCTGTACGCATACACTGAATGGTTCGTCATGAACTTTGATATTGAGGAACTTACTCAAATTTGCCAACATATTTCGATTTTGGTTAATATCTGGCGAAATAACGGATATTTCACATGAATATCTTAATGCATTTTTGCACGTGACGTGAGCGCATCTCACTAAACATACTCTTACATTCGCTCAGACGCTGGAGAGATAATTTAAACACACACAAAAAAATCCGCGGTCTATAGTCCGCAAGCGAACTATACCGACCAAGCGACCATCGCTTGTCGGCGAAGTTAGTGCCAAAATTAGCGGATAGATGGTGTCGCGTGGTCAGCGCGACGGATCCCCATGGACGTTAATCAATTGAAACATATTTTATGTTGAAGAAAGCAGTCTTCTGGGATTTGGCACCGTGTATAAGTGGTGTTAACCGACGTTTCGGAGGAACGTATCGCCTCCATCTTCAGGGTAGAAGAAAATATAAGAATTCTGCAAGCGAAGAGACCGTGAGAACCG